ATATAGATATAGATATATGTATATATGTGTGTGTAATTAGTCAAACAGACCACAAAAAGAAACATTATATTAAGTATTCTTTTAAGATCACAAGGGTTAAACAGGGAGCTGTGCCAGAACTGACTAAAGGTTAAAGTTCACTTTTTCTCTGCTTTGAGTGATGTGCACATTTCACCACAAACTCAGTAAGGCCATAAGTAAAGTGTCATCACTTCTTATTAAACTGTTCCAACAGCGTGTCACGATCTGTAAAGTAACTCACTGCTCTTATACATGCAGGCTGGGGTGAACATTTATTCAACCTGTGTCGCTCACTTTTTTCAGGTTCAGGCTACGGACAGGTCAGATTGGAGCGAATGTCCTGAGGGGGCGGAGCTAATGAGTCTACTGCACGATATGACCACATCCAACAGGTGCATGTTTCTGCTGTTTGTGTGTGTCTTATAGAGGATCAGCTCATTATCCATCCCAGTAATTTGATATAACACAAAGGCATCAGCTGCTACCCGAATCAGGATCCCCCACTTCCTGTGGGATCCTGAGATGATTCCAGGGATACAGTCGTAAGAAAATGTCTGTGAACCCATTTGTATTACCATGATTTCTACACTGTTCTTGTCTGATAGAAAGTTACTTACTAGATAATAACAGTATACTTAGTTTTAAGATATTTGCTGTCAAGTACACTAATTAAGGAGGTAAGACTGTAAGTATGGGTTGTTGAGGTGCTCAACAAAATCAAAATCTGCTCCACTAACAAAATATTGGTTGGTTTGAACTTTTGATAAAAGTATTACAGCAATACACAAATCTGTAAAAGACTACAGAAGGATTTTTGAAGATCTGGATGTTCATCTTTATACAATAAGATAAACTACAAATGGAGGAAACTTAAACACCAAATAAGATTGGTGTCAATAAAAAGCCATGAAAAAAAGCCATATGGGCCAACAAAAAAAGAGCAAACATACTGGGAAACACCAGCGCCTAAAAATAATCTCAGTGGCACGTCCCACATTTCCAAAGAATCCCACTGATGTCTCACAGCACTTCAGAGATGTGAGCAGAGGAGACAAACGTTTTAAATTAAATGAAACTTAATTTTTTGGAAGGGAAAACAAGAAACAAGAAAAAGAAAAAACAACAACAAAACCTCATCCCAGCTGTAAAGCACAGTGGAGCAAGCACCATGGTTTGGAGCTGTTTTTCTACATTATTTCCTGGACACATTGCGGTCAGTAGAGAAACCAACTGAATTCAAAATTGTAAAAGAAGAAAACAAATAAATAAAAGCTTGACAAGACTGAGTCATGTAACTTGAGAATGGTTCAAACAGCAATCATAAATCAGTTGAGGGTTAAAAAAGAAGGATATTCAAGTTTTGAATGGAAATGTCAGAGTCCTGATCTTACACTGACTGATGATGTGACAGGACCTGAAACAGAGAGGTTCAGTTAATACATCCCATAATTATTAATGAACTGAAACTGTATTGTAGAATTGGTTTTCTCATCTTTGTCTAAGTCTCATAAAGAGCTACAGGAGACATCTGAGGTTTGCCAAGTTTTAAAAAGTGAGCGATTATTTCATGTTTTCTACACTTGAAAGAGCGCAAGATGATTAGTTTTATATCAGTCTATAACTGTGACTTACAGTGTTTAGACCATATGAGTAATAAAATGAGGTCTGATCATTTTATTCCTCAAAAATTGTAATTGTATCAAATCTACCTTTAGTTACCCTCCTTTATTCAGCCTATGTGACAGCAGCCTGTCAAAGACACCAGCTACTCTCCCTCCTCCCTGATGAAGCGACTCCCTCTGTTGGGCTCTGCTCAATAAGCAATCATGGCAAGTTGCTCTTAGTCTCACCTGACAGAAAGGTGAGACACAGAGAGTCCATCAGCTTTCTTTAGTCTGTGAGTGCATGCAGTATGTCTGGCTATGTAATCCATGCTTTCCTATTTTGTTTTTGAGACCAAATCTCCAAGCATACCGATAACAAATGATTCTGGATTTTGATACTGCCCATTCCCACGTCTTATTATTTCCATGCATGTCAGAACTGATCTTTGTCTAGTTAATTGACAGGACATGCGCCTGTAACAGAGCAGGGTAGCTTAATGGCAAGAAAAAGCTCTGAGATGAAATATGTACACTATTAAAAACGTATATTTAAGTCTTAACATCTGTTACCAGGGACGGGAAACATAATCTGCACTTCTCTCTTTTAAAGAAACACGAGTTTTGAAACTCCAACAGCCCTCTTTTATCTTTAAGTATAAAATATTTTTTATATATGTCTAATCCCATGCTTCACTCTGTGGGTCAGTAGTATTAATACAAATACAGTCGTCGCCTCCACCCACCTTTTCATATATGTAAAAAAATATGTAAAAATCTTTTATATTTACCATATGAAGGAGTTTGTGTGTATGTGAGTGCATGTTTTCATGTGCACACCTGCATCTCTGCATCTGGCTGTCTTTTATGAGTATGTCAGCCAGTTGTGTTTCCCCTCATAGGGCCAAGGGTTTTGTCACCGTAGTGACCGTGCTTCTTTTGATCTTCTGATGTATGAGACTAGCAACCTTTCACACACGCACATCCACACACGCACACACACATCCACACACAATGAATACACACAAATAGAGTCCTTTATTCTCATTTATATACAAACTCTCTGCAATCACACATACACCCTGTCAGATCAATAATGAAGGTGTATTGTTGCCCTGCTATAGAGGCCTCTCCTATTCTGTGCTCCCCGCCTCCCTCTTTTCTCCTTGGTCACCCTTTTCTTCCCCCTTTGTCACCCTCCTCTCCTCCTCCTCCTCCTCCTTCTCTCTTTCTCCACAATTTTCTTTCCTTTTTCTTGGTTTTCTTTCGTTCGTTCCCTCTTGTGCTCTCCCACTTCTCTTCTCTCGCCTCATCTCCTCACTCTCCTGTCCCTCTTTGGTAGATGAAAGCACAGATCAGCTCCAGCCTTTGAAGTGGCAGAGACTGGCACCCTCCCACTGGTTTAGCAGGAGGAGGAGGGGAGCAGAGGTTTTAGGAGAAAGGGCAGGAGATGAGAGGAGTTACAAGGAGAGAGAAGAGGAGTGGAAAGGGATGGGAAGAAGGGTTGAAGAGAGGTTTTAATTGAGAGGATGAGAGGAGCTGGCGCCGAGGTAGGAGACGGAAGAAGGATGGAAAAGAGAGAGGGGAGGTCTGGGCTAAGATCCTAACCCAAATGATGTCATTCACACTTTGCCATGGCAACCTGAGGAATGCCTTTTCAAAACCTCAAGCCTGACCAAGGGTGAAGGGTGGGGAGGAGCAATAGCGTATACTCCCCGTTCCTGAAGAAAAATCATTGAGGTTCTCAACATAAACCTAGTTAATGCTGCTTTCAGTGAGTCAAAGCCTCAGTAATATCTGCTCAGACAACAAAGACAGATCAGAAAACTGCACAACTCTTCTACAAACACACTCTGAGGTCAATCATTCAGAATTTTATCAAAATGCAAACATTAACATGGTGAAACTAGCTGCAGTGTACACATGCAATACCATTAAAAGAATAGTAAGCTGTCTGATCTTCCTTGAAAGTCTCTAAATGTAGTGGTGGGCTGATCACACTAATCTCTGGGTTGAATTAAGCAGCTAAAGAGAAAATACTTCACCCATGAAAAAAAAAAAGTTTACAGATTTAAAATTGGCGAGCCTCCTTTGTTAACCATTCAAAGTCATCTCTGTGCACTTCTGCACTGCTTCCAGCACTCGGGTTAGTTTTAGATTGCTTCATGGGAGTCCCACTCTGAACACTTACCACATACCCATCTGATATTAGCATGGACCTCAGGCTTGTGCAGAGAGAGCACATTATCTGGATCTCTGGCTAAGATCCAGAGAAGAGTCTGCAGTGTCTGAGCACAAAGGTGTATTGTGTTTTGGTTTTGTTATTTAAAATGGCTTGTACACCATACATTTGTCCCCCGGGATCAGATTATCAGCAGTGACTTTCAATACGATATCTTGAGGTGTCAGAGGGAGGACTTTTGCCACAAACACAGTGAATTCCAGTGGCCAGAAAAACACATTTTAAGTTTTGTTGTTGCTCAGTCCTGATCAGCACTATTGTTGCCAACCACTCACTCTGCTCATGAGGTTTGGCTCCCTGCAGCTTTGTCATTTTCCCCAAACAGAAATTCAAGTTGAAGGGCTGCATTTCTGCAGAAATCAGTGCAGAATCAAAACTGTAAGAGGACAGAGTGGGACAGACAGCACAGCAGGAGCAATGGAAGCATCCTAGTGGGACACAATTGATCAAATGCAAAGGGAGGAGTGGCCAGACTTTTATTTGAAGCACAAGGGTTTTTGATTACAACTCCTGATTGTTTCTTGCTGCACACTAAAGACAGTTAGCACAGGATTAAATGAAGGCAGCGGAAACGCTTAGACTCACATTTTGAAATCATTTAGTTGTTTATTTAATCTGAACAAAAACAACAACAACAATAATCTTTGGGTTGAGTTGTGTTGAGTTGTGAGTGAGTCTACCGCTAAAGGAACTGCAGATGATTGTCTTCTTTCTGATGAGTTCTTCTGTTTGTTTGTTTTCTTAAATAATGGAAAGCACACAGATTCCACACAGCAAACATCCCACATGTTGGTGTAAGCAGAGTGTGAGGCTAATGCGATACTGTAATCTAAAACCAATTATTTTATTTTCCGCTGTTCTCTGTGCAGCTGTGTCAATTTGAGGCTGTTAAGAGTGCAAGGATTTAATGAGTAACCAAACTCTAAAGTTTGTCCTAAAACTTTTATGGACCCAATTTATGTTTTCCAGATCCACAAACTTTCAAGGGTTTCCGAGGCCTCTGGGAAATGTGTTAATTAGGTTAATTATGTAGGTTTTAATTAACTAAGAGGGGTGGGTGGGCTTCTTCTGGCCTGGCTGTCAGGTTGCCCCCAAAGACACCTGGGAGTAAGAGGAGGGGGGAGGGGGTGATAACAGGGGGAGAGCAGGAGCAAATTATAGACAGCCTAGAGGGGCCTGGGCAGATTGGATGTTTTCATCAAGTCTTAATTATCATATATAGATGTATGTTTGTACAGAATTGTGAAAATCATTATTTATACACTTGTATATGTTTTTTTAATTGTCTTACTACAGAGCACATAAAATATATATTTAATAAGCACAGGTTCATGTGGGCTGAAATTGGGATGTAAAGTTTTATTATGTTTGCGGAGCAGAAATAAATGTAGTAGTCTTAATTACTAATTCAGTCCACTCAGTACCATGATACGTGGCTGCACCTGTTTCATTGCTCAGCATGCTTAAGAACCCTGATCTATTTTATTGTAATTGTTTCTTTGATTAAGCTGTTTGCGCTCATCACCGGCTAATTATCACTGGATAGATAGCATGCCAGTAATACTACTCTTTTTTTATGTTTCCCCATCACAGGTATCACACTGATGTCACTGGCCTGGCTGCTGATATCCTTCAAGAGATCTCTGAATCCTAAAAGCTTTCAGAGCATTCAGCCGTGCCTCCATATGACTGTCATCATTTCAAATTGGATCAGTGGCAGTAACAAATATTGGTGTGTCACTAAAATGTCTTGACAGGGCAATCAAAACATGCATCCAGTGTTCATCAAACTTCACAGGATTACAGCATGAGTGTTAATTTGGACTGTCATTGGCATCACAACACTGACCTCTGAGTGTGTCAACACACCTCGTGTCATCAGCAGTGACAGAATATTAGATCACGCATGCCGTCACGAGTCATAGATTTCTACTTTGTAATAACATGAAGCTAATGCGACATCTAAAAACTCTTTTTTTGTTGGTATTCCAGCACTAAAAAGGAAGTTGTTCTGTTTACTTTTAGCAGACTAGTGCCGTGAAAAACCATTAATACCAAAGTGGTTCACCACATCCACTGAGTTGTGTATAAATCATCCATCTTTGCTTTTACACAAGTTAGGTCATATCATTCTAATTAAATCATTTTCCTGTCCCAGTGTATACCTGATCTCTGCCTACTGTTACATTCCCAATTGTTTTAACTGGATATAATTACTTTGCATAATTAAATATACCATTACTGAGAAGTGTTTGAATTTAAAAGGAAAGAATGACACTTAAATGTTCTAAGAAGCTGGATGAAGTCGGGTTAAATAGGTGAGGTAGAGGTCATGTTAGAAAGATTATGCTTAGTCATGGAATATGTCCTTAAGCTACCTCAGCTGTCCATGTACCACCATCCTAGACATCCACATGTGGACACCACCAGCAGGCTTTTAGTTCACAGCACACTGAATTTTCTGCAACTTTGACTCATGGCATTAAAGCTGGACCCAACTTGCCACTGTACACAGTTTAAGTAGATTTCAACAGTCTCAGTGAACACACAGCAGGTGGACTGCTGGCACATCAGTTTCTCCTCACCTTCCCGTCAATAAGTGTGTAAAACTAATGCAGCAAACCAGGAATGTCAAACTCATTTTACATGGTGGGCCACATGCAGCCCACTTTGATCTTAAGTGGGTCGGACCACTGAAACTACCCTTCCTGTCAGCGTAAAGAAGTTGCACTACACATTTAATCTCTGAGATACTGTAATATAAGAAAATGCAATGTCAACAGCACATTTACATGAAACCCAACTGTTTGGGTTTAAATTCACAGAGAAGGCCCCATTTCATTTCACTGTGGAGCCTTTGTAAACAACGAAAATCTTTTAGTCTAGTACGCAGGAGGTCTGTCAGCAGGAAAAACTAAAATGTATTAAATAGTTAGGTCCGAGGTTTATGCCCTTCTACAATTTCCAAAGCTGTCTGGTGGGCCAAATGTTTGTCTGTCAGGCCAATTCTTGGCCCCAGGCCTTATGTTTGATACCCCTGCTCCCTGAAACGACTTCAAGTGTTATTAGTGTCTCATGTTAATCTTGATTTGAGTAGAAATGAGACTTAAAGGCATACAGTTGAAATGACAGTCCATTTTATTGTTTCAGAACACAGCAGGCTACAGCAACCAGCTCCTCTCACTACCCCACCCACTTACAGCAGACCAATAGGAGCCCTCCTCCACCCCTGTCCTTTCAGACACTCCCACCCAGCTAGGTCAGCTACACCCCCTTTGGAACAGCAGAGACATCAGTGTCTCCCTTTAAAGCAAGAAAATAGCTTGATATTTGGACCATGATTTCCAATTCATGTTTTTATACAAAAGCTACACAATGTTACACTTGATCATCAGAATACAATTCAACTGATTAACTTTAGTGTTTGGACACCATTTAAAATGTGATCAGATCCTTTACTTGGATGGAGCATTACCACTAAAAAAAATAAAATAAAATAAAAATAATAACTCAACACTACCAGAGACTGAAAATACAAGGGACTGCAAAAACAAGAGATGAGTATCATAATTCAGAATAATGGAAAAAGCAAGCTAGATTCAGTTGTACCATTACAGACTTAAGGAAAACGGAATAAAAAAGTAAAAATAAAGTAAAAATGAAAAAAAAAAAAAAACATTAAAAGGGATTTGAAAACTAATTATTGAAAAATCTGTGTGTCATGTCAGGATTTGAGGTCAGCCCCCATCAGGCTGAAACCAGAACCAAACCGCACTCAAATCTAGTTTGTCCCAATGGAGTCCCCGTAGACGGGAAACTCTGCTTGCTGTTGTTGAGTCATCTTCAGGCACTTCTGAAACCTCGCCTCCTCCATATGGGCGAATCACGATGCAGGTTCATCCAGATCACATGATACAGCTGCAAGGGGAGAGCAGAGGAGAAATGAGCAGTGGGAGGAGGCATGGCAGGCATTGGGTGAAGGACCACACATACAGATCAAATACTAGTCAAAGCAACTTCACAGACACCACATCACACAGCTTTGTAATTTGGAGCAGTCTGAACATGCAGCAGGCACAAGGAGTAAACCGACACTTCCCCCAGTCCTCGGGCTCTTTATCCAGAAGCTGACATGAGGCCACAGAGTTGGGGGTACCAAGTAAATCTTACCTAGTAGAAAGTGTAGTGTAATGTTGGTCTTGGTATTTACAGGTCGGTATCAAACCAGGCCAGTTGGTTTGAGTCGCCAGGTGGCAGGCCCTCTATCAGTTCCTGGGCATGTCCCAGGTCAGGCAGCCCTTCTACAGGGGGGTAGTCCTGGCCAGGGTGGTGCCCTCCACCCAAGTCATGATCCATCATGGGTTCCATACCCATTGTGTCCCCTCCGTAACCCCCCGAATGGAAAGAACGGTAACTTGGGTCTGGTGGAGGAGGAATGGATGGAGGAGACGCAGGTGAAGCAGAGCAGTTGTTAGAAGCAAGTTAACAAACCAAGCTGACACACAGTAGTATGATCACTGAAATGTAACACTGCAAATCAACACAGCACACGGTCAACCCTCCAACAGACCAAATCAAACCACAGCTGTTAACTCTTATTTCAGCTAAACTTGTGCTTCAGGTCACTGTTTAGTTGTTTCCACCAACAGGAATGCATCTGCAGTAGCCAGGGCCTTTTCTAAATCTATCAACATCAAGTCTGTTTTCATTTGGCTGACGAAGAGTCAATTAAAGCTGTTACTGCTGGAGAATTGGAGAGCAGTGCAAATTAAAACCAACGCCAGCTTGCCCTCTAGCCTACTGATTGGCAGTGTCCAAAATCCTGGACACCGGTAATAATTAAAGAGATGGTCTGATCTTCAGCCAGGTCAGGATTAAAGACCATTTTGAACAATTTGACTGAAGTAGTAACACACTTCTCATGTCTTTCTGGAACATGCTGAGGAATCACTTAGTACAGACTGGAACATTTAAGTGGATCCTTAAATTTAAAAACTCCTAGAAGCTTCTGTAACAGCACCAACCTACATCTGATGTCTCGTGTAGTTGTTTATAATAAAGCTGCACAACACTGAGGAGGAACATGAACTGTTTTTAGTTTGCTAATATCTAACAGTAGACCTCCTTCAGGTCATGCATCATCATCTCAGTTGGGTCAAGATGAAACACTCAAACACTGAGTGTCAGCTCATTAGAAGATCTCGACCCCAAGTAGATCTTTAGAAAAGTTGTTGGTCAAGTGGTTTACTTCAGTCATATTTTCAAGTTCATTAGTGACACACAAATTTGTAATAGCTGTGTCAGATTGCGTATCTGTAATTTTGACTCTGATGAAGATCAGATCACATTTTTGATAAGATGAGTATATCAACTTAATAATAAATTAAGCCCACAGATGTACAAAGACTTCCAAAGAAGGCATTTAGAGCATCCCCAGTTTGATAATTAGCTCAACTGTTTTTATCTTGACTGCAGTAATAGTTGGGAAGCCTTTGTCTTCTGCTTTGCTTGCAAGTGTCAAATGAGTGACTTACCTTCTGGTCTGTAGCCCAGAGGCTCACCCTGAGCTCCGATATCCAAACCCAGATCTGCTGTCTGCAGAGCAACACATGGCAAACATTTGACAAAGTTTCAATTACACAAACTCTTGTGCATGTCTTTGTAACTGACTACACAATGTAAATAAGCATTACGCAGTTTGTGTAAAAGTGTGTCACACCTCATTCCAGGCCATTGGTTCTGTCCTGAAGAGCGAGCTGGTGAGTTCTACAGAGAGGCGCTTCTTGTAGTCTTGAGGTTTGTCCTCTGACATACGGAACAAAACTGCTGCTGCGTATGTGGCTGAGAAAGATGGAAGCATGACTGCTTAGCCAACACATTTTTAGCCTTTAAAAACAAAAGCACTTAAAACAGCCATAATACAGCTATCAGGGTAAACAAAAGAGACTAGGTATTATCCATAACTAGAAAGTTTATGCAACTAGCGTTCTCCGCATCATTTAGAGGCAGTATAATGAAGTTGTCACCATAAATATAACTGTTTTAAGAGCAAGCTTGGCTCCTACTAAATTCTTCAACAATGTGCTACAACACAAGCCCACAGTGCGTCTCTGCATGATAGCAGATGAGCCTGGAATGTCACAGAGTTACTGAACAAAAAGCAGTAGCTACATTGAACTGCTAGAGCTGCAAATTTTCAAGATGCCACTTTAGGTCCACATCACACTAAAGAGTCTTCCAGGAAAACACAAACAATTATTTCCAAGTGCCAGCGTGTTATCCAATTAAATCCCCTCATTGCACAGTTAGACTGGCACTTCTGAACATCTGCATAGTTAAATGCAGCTATTATGGGACTGATAGCGTTGTGTAAATGAGTGTTTTGGGTACATACCAACTCCTTCATTGCGGCTGTGCAACAGCTCTGTGAGTGGAGCAGTGGCTCCCTCAGCTTCGATGGCCTCAGCGGCCTCTTTATCCTGAGCGAGCTCACACAGGACGCCTGCTGCTACACGCTGGATGTTCTCAATGGGAGAATACAGCAGCTGCACACAAACACAGACCAACAGCTTAGTGAAAAAAAATAAATAAATACTGAGCCTCCACAGATGCAGCCTCATGACACTATAATTTGTTCCCTCTGGAGAACCACCTCATGCATCCACCCAAACAACTTCTATCTGGGATCATTTTTCTAACCCAGTTCCCCTGTTTAATCCAGACAAGCTTCAAACAAATTAATCTCAATACTAAAAATATCATCCGTAATCTTGGTTAAATTATATTGTTTTACTTTTTGAGGTTAAATCTGCAGACTGACCTGTACAAAGAGTGGAATGGTGTTGAGTCCTCTGATGACTATTCTGTTGTGGACATCTCTGGCCAGGATGTGAAGTGCTCCTGTACACCCTTCCACAATTTCCTCCATACGTACTCCCTCCTAATAAACAAACAGCGCAAGATCAGTGCACTTGCAGCATCTCTCTCTACAGACTTCTTAGTAGACCGGGTAGTACTGAGAACTACTGCTCTCTCAGTGAATTCCAGGCACCATGGACTGGTATTTATTAAAGCTGTGTGAATTGAAATGATGAGAGTATGTGTGCTCTTACCACAAACTGCTGCTGTGTGCCTCCCATGCTGGTGCGTCTTTGTGTGTCTTGATGTGCTCTGACCAGCAGCTGAACCAGTCTGGGGATGGCACCCTGCTCCCTCAAAGGGGCGTGGTTTGCAGGGCAGAGAGCCAGGTTACGGATCAGACCAACTGTAGCCTGACAGAAGAACACAGTTGTGTCATTTAACCACAATTTTAATGTCACTCTCAGGTTACCCGTTAGCCACCCATAATCCAGAACCATGCAGAAAACCTTTGTCTTGATGTATATTTGTAGACAGATTTACTGAAAAATATTATTTCAACTTATTTTCTCATCTTAAAGTCAATTATTAAACAAGCTGATTGCACTTGAACAAAAAAAATCTTATTTTCTTGTCTATCAGTACATGTAATAATACCAGTGAAAATGACTGACATGTTTATGACAGCCTACAATATTCAGCTCATTATTTTAGCATCAAAACGTAGTTAAGAGTGAAGTGATTTTCACTGCACTAAATGAAGAGCAGCATGAGTGGCTGGCATTATGAAGAGCAGCTTACAGAGTGCTGCTGCCAAGTCTCTCTGTGTGTACCTTGATGAGTGGCCAGTGTGATGGCGGGTGCAGTAATTTGACGACTACAGGCAGGCCATAGTGCAGTCTGACAGCGTTCTGTGCCATCTCAGCATCCTGGTGTCGAGAGGTGAGGTGACGCAGGGCACAAATAGCTGGCTCTGTGATGTCTTCTCTGTCTCCAGCCCGAAGCACCGTGCGAACCAACGCCTCAATGCCTCCAACCTAGAGAGGAACAAATAAGGTGGCAGATTGTGAATGCAGCAGAAAATCTGGGCCTATAATTTAAATACAGATTTAAAACTAAATTTTTATATATATTTTTTTTTAAATGAGAAAAACTGCTAGTTAAAACACATCACTTTGTATTATAGAAATTTTACATTTTCCTTTGCAAAAAATAAATAAAGTGCTCACCTGGCACACCATCATCTTGTTCTTGTAGTTGTTGCAGGTCAGATTAGACAAGATGCCAGCCGCACAGGTCACCACGTTAATGTCATCACTGCCAAGCAGCTGCACCAGAGTTCCTAGCAGACCCTCCATTCCCTCCTGGGTATAAGGATTGATAAATAGCATCAACAAAAAGTCACTTTAAATGTCTTCTGATGCATTTCGCAGCCTGAAACTAATGATTAACACACAGGTACTGGTAATGGGGCAGCTTGCCTCACCTGTTTGGTGGCAGCATCTGACAAGTTCCTGAGAGTCCAGAGACAGTTCTGGACCAGTCTCTGGCTGGGATCTGTCAGGTGGAGTCCCAGAGCCTGCATGCCTCCTAACAGAAGGAAATCAAGAGCACATAGTGTTTACATACGCAAGGTAAGAAAATACATTTCAAAATGAATCAACTTTGTGGTGTTGAGTTTTCTGTACTGCAAGTTTATAAAACATACCAGCCTCTACAATGGCAGGCTTGTTACTGGAGCACACCGACAGAACCTTGAGGACACGGCTTGTGGTCCACAACAGCTTCTCATAGGTATAAGTTCTCATGATGTTGACGAGGGCCTGGGGGCCACCACTGGCCAGGATTATCAACTACACAAACAGAAAGCAAACAAATATGTTGATCTGAGTGTCAAATCCAGAGTAACACACTGCAGAGTGTTACTCGTACATAAGTCAGTTTCTTGCCTCAACAGGTTTCAACACACTAGCCCCCTCACCTTGCTTTCCTGGTTTCCATAGGCCAGTATTTGGAGACAGTCAGTGGTGATGGCCAGAAACTTGACATTGGTTTTGCTGAGCAGAGCCACCATTTTCTGTAGCCCGCCAGCTAAACGAACAGCCATCTTGGCTCCTTCCTGGTGCAGGAGAAGGTTGTGGAGGGTGGTGATGGCATAGAACAGGATAGAGTCCACTGGTGAACTGCAGAAGAGAAGATTACTCAATTACTGGAAAATTACTAACAGATATACAGATAAAGTTTCTCTGCTGTCCTTCCTCTCCACAGTCTCAGTGAACTGAGACAATTTCTTCATGTCAGCTTTGGCCAAAAATCATGGTGTGATGATTTCCTTGTCTCTGATCAAAACATTGCTCTGCTTCATGCACTGGTGAGCTAAAGTACAGCAGACAAATGTAGACCCAGAGAGGAAGGGGCAAAAGTATGCCTCCACTCTCCTCCTACATACCCCAGCATTTTAACTAGAGCTGGTATTCCTCCTGACTTGAAGATAGCCAGCAGTCCCTCTCTGTGATGGGAAAGGTTGTGCAGTGTTCCTGCAGTGCAGCGAGCTGTTTCCACATCGTTTGTGTTCTGCATGGTCCTCACAATAGCAGATACCATCTGAGGTGAGCGCATAATAGCGTGGCGAGAAGCTTCTTTCTTTGAAAGCTGGTTAACCATCACTGCTGCTTTGTTTACTACAACCTGGAAGGGATGAAAACTAACATTAGCGAATCATATCAAAGAGGACAAAATTACTTCTGAGACAGTTCTGAGCCACAAACATATTCACCTGGTCCTCATCATTGAGAAGTTTGGTGAGCTCTGGTATTGCTCTTGTTGCCAGCTCAGCATCATCTTGATAGTTGATCAGATTGACCACAGCATGTTTGAGCATTTGTGACGGCTCTGCCAGCCTCTGGACATTGGTGGGGTTTGCTGCATCATACTGTGTAGAAGGGATCTGCATGCCCTCCTCAAGAGTCTCTGGGAACATTGCTGCACGAACCCGCTGGGCACGTGTCATGGCATACTGACCATCTAGGTCTAAAAGCAAACAAGACCAGCTTTGTATGATTTGCCAAACGGGTCACCCGTGACCTTCCTTGAAAAGATCACCAGCATTATAACCTACCTTGTACTTGCTCTTGGGAGAAGTTCTGGTTGAAGCCCTGCTCCCACTCATACATGACCTGGTTGCTGTCAACATCATCTTCCTCAGGGTTGCCCTTCCCACTGAGGGATGGAGCAGTTGTGGTGGCCCCTGAGTGGATGCCTGAATCCAGGTAGGACTGTTGCTGCCAGTGACTGACTGCTGCCTTACGGTCTGGCTCCATGGCCATGTCTAGTTCCATCAGATCAGCTGGAAAGAGAAAGGCACGCATTCAACAAAAAGTCTATTCTGTAATTTCAAAGGATGTGTAGAGTTACAGACTTTAAGTGATTAATTCCAACTATCCAATTTTGTCAAAGGCTTGAGCTTTTCAAAGACAAGGCTAACTTTAAAAGTAATAACAGTGGTGTGCTGATGTCACAGGGTGAGTGCATCAGCAATGGTTAATAGCCTCTGCAGTGAATAGATTTCTGTCCTACTATTATTTTCCAGTTTTTTCATAATTCAGTGTAGTACGATTTACCAGTAAAAGACTCCTGAAGCATGAAGTTGGATTTTACATGTGCCCCAAGTTTCAAATTGAAATCAATAACTAATTCAACGTGCTTTAATGGCAACATAAATCTCTACCAAGCCAAGCTGTAACTTTGGTCTGCTGTAAAGTTTAATACACTGCATGTGTGACTGAGGAAGAAGCAAAGGGTGGGAACTTAATTAAGGGGGACTCAAACTCACCCTGGGAAGCCATGTTCCTTTCTCAAACCGTGGCTGACACAGCTTCCTGATCTGTAACAGGAAAAAAAAAAATCATTTCAGCTATTCAGCTACCTTCTCTACACCATTCACAGCCATTAAATCACCAACCATTTTACACTAAACACATATACAAGACCAAAGCAGATGTAAACGCAGAGAAAAAAAAAATTAGACTGAAATTAATAGACGTTTTTAAAAAAAAAAAAAATAGAGTCTAGAGAAGTGACTTTCCAGTGCTTTCTTTCCTGTCTCCTCCCGTTCTTAGGTTTCCTCTTCCCTTTTAAGCCAGTCGTGCAAACAGCAACACACACAAGGCTACCATTAAATGTAGCTGCTACCAACTATTTAGGTGAGGAAGGACAGGGGAAGTAGAGCACTGGGTGGAGAAAGGAGGCAGGGGTGGGAGGGGGCATTCACATTCCTGCACTTGCTTTGAAGCTGGAAACGCTCTGCAGGAAAGTAAACACTGGCAATGGCAGGAGAAGGGTAGAGCAGGCAAACGGGGATTAATTTGGGGAAAAAAAGCACGGCAAACTGAGAGAGGCATTTTCAATTCATACTCGAAGATAAATGTTATGGCAGGAAAGCATAAAATGGAGACTGGGGAAAAGGCCTAAGAAAATATCTGCTAAAATGAGACATAAACAGGGGCTGTGTATCCATGGAGTCTCAAATCCTTTCATCAAACCCTTTCAAAAGTACACCTGTGGTTATGGAGCAGGAAAATCAGAGACCAAATCCCTTTCAAATCACCACATAAGTTCAGGCACGCTCTAATACCAGAGGTGCACAAAGCCATAAATTAATTCTGGTAAAGAAAGCACAGGTAGTTAAAACCATAGCATTTCCTCAACTACAGCTCAACTACATCAACAAAAATAGATAAACAAAGTCTTGTTACCACCAGAATCTCTTCCCCCTGGTGGCCATTAGAAAGAAGGCATGTTTAAGTCCCTCCGTGTTTGATTCACCCTCAGACCTGGAAGCTGTGTCCACATGAAGCACACCCTTCTCTCCTGCATGGCTGAACATAGGCACTTCAATCTTTACACAACTGCAGATTTAGGTCAGTCAAACTAACAGTGCTAATCAAAGTAACCTAATTTTTCACAAAAAACATTTTAGATTTTCAAATTACTCAAATTGTGAGCAAGCTTTCCTTACAGCAAAAGGTGTGTGGCAGTTTTAGTTCTTGAAAAAAAAATGTTTTAAATGAATGCAAAAAATATTTGACATATAGTTTGCCTACTTATTTGTATTTTGTCAACTAATGTCCAGTGACAGTCATATATGAAGGAAAGATTTTCTTTCTAGTTAAAGCCGTCTAATGCTCTGCAGAAATGAGCTACAAGTTCTACTTCTGGGAGAAAATGTCATAACATTGTTATGAATGTACTACATTACAGAGAAATACAAATAACGTTTTAAAAACCATTACTGATACTAACAAATTGGCGATGACTGTGTCATGGACACCAGCAAGAAGGTTAACACAACTCTCTGCTGAGTTAGAAAGTCACCTTCGAGTATTTCTTCCTCTCAATGATCCCAGGCTAGAATTCATCATTTAATTACAATCCAATAACCACAGAATCAGCTGAGGAAAGACTAATGTTTGTGTCTGAATGATGCTACTTTCGGTGGACTAACCAACATACTGTAGCTTGTTTTAAACCTTGAACTAAGATTCTTCTTGTTGATTACGATCTAATCTTTTAGGGGGCAGTACTCTCTCTCTCTCTCACACACACACACACGGGTTTTGATTACAGGCCTGTGGACTGTATTTATCTGACAGCAGTAGAGAATTTGGCTTGTTTTTAATCAACTCTGTAGTCATCTAGATGTACATATATTTGTAGATTGTACTCTGTGTACAAGTGCCCAAAAGGTACATAATACACTCTGTATATACACTCTGCTAAAAATACCTAGTTTAAAATCAAACAAGAAAAACAGCAACACATCACCATAAGCTTGAGTTTAATAGCTTTTCTTCCCAGCAAGTTATGCTAAAAAAGGATGACAAAAGACCAAATGGAAGACAAATTCACAGCAGTGGCAGACAAAAAAAAGGCAGTCCAGTATGAATGCCAGTGAGTGTGTAGGAGTTGCTTGGGTTCAGTGGCTGCCAGCATGCAAATATACTCAATGACAGTTAAACTACTGCTCTGAATTACTTTCCTCCTCAACCACACCACCTTAGCTCAGCTGTATCATTAAAACCTGATCTTGAGTCATGCTCCAAGACTGCTGCTTCTAACCACAAAGGCACCAACTCAAATTCACTGTTCACACGCCATCCTCCCGCCATTGTAGTCCTGCCCTCACATAACCCAGCTTGCTCCTAATGGGAGCCACATATCCCATACAAATCAGACATACAATCAAAGCACATAATGGAACAATTTATGATTCACACTGGTGGAAAAGTGGTTCTTTACATCTGGCTTTGGAAACTGAGCCAGTAGGTTTTTTTGGAGTTTTTTTGTGATGGGCTAAACAAGCAAAGTCTGACATTAAACTGTGGTTCACAAATGGCAGCCTTACCCTAAAGTCACTATAAAGAACAACAACAAAAAAAATCATTACAGTATGCGTTCCTAGATGTCAAACCGGCCACAAAAATCTGAACAGGTTTCTTTGAAGCCAGATGTGAAATCCAATATGTAGTCGTGCCTGGTGGAGTTGAAAGCCACAAAACTGAAACCAGATGACAAATGAGTGACACACTAGTCACCAGAGTCGGATGACTGTCTTGTGTAATATACAGTACGTATACAGAATAAATCCAGATCTATGTACCCCAAGAGAGCTGAAGGAACAGAGGAAGTTATATTCCATAAGTCTTCTAGGCAGATATCACAGAAAAGAGAACAGAAATATCGAGAATCGTGCGCTGGTGAAGTTATGATAGGTTCCAGGTCAACATTCAAACAACAAGGTTTAGACTGCTGCAGCACAGGACTGATTTTGGGAACAGTGACTGTGACACTGTCCTGATAAATAGTGAGAAAACATGCTGCTCAAAAAGAGAAGCAACGTTCATTAATGTTTAAATGACATAACATAGTGAAACATTGTTTTAAGGAGCTGGCCAGAGAACAAACTGTTCCAACAGGCTGCCTCTAGTTACTGCAGAGGCAGCCTGCACATCTGCACATCTGAGTATCCAAATAGATCTGAATGCCATATTGCTTAATTTTTATGGTGCATAAAAAAATAAAGAAATAAGTGAAGGGAATTAAAGAACAAGTGTTCAAGAGAGGACTTGATTTGTTTCACATGGCAGAACCTCGACTCTTTGAACCAGCAGGACGTCTCCACATGTAGCTCTTAATTGCACCGAAGGCATCTCAGTGAGGAAGAGGGACTAAACCAGATGACTGACAGTGTTCACAAAGAAACCTAACCAACAAATAAATCAAGATGTGAGCCGCTAGTTAGTCCACGAAAGTCCACTGTGGCACCTTGTAAAATGTCACTAACAAAAACAAAAATATTTTTATGAACAATGAGAAAATTTCATCTGGTAATACCGGCGCTACGAACTCTACATGATTTATTCACACCCGGTTTCTTTGCTTCAGCATATTCATCAACCTTGCATGCCACTGAAACTCAGGTGCCCTACTTTTGCACTGATGTAAAGACTGACACAGTCAAAACGTGACTGAACATTTCCACAACATTGATCTAAACATCAAGTTTCTGTGCATTGTAGTCAGAGCTTCTAGCCGTCCATGGGTGTTAGTACCTACTTGTTCCACATTTTATAACTGTTGGCCTTCGCTCTGTTGATAAAGTGCTGAGAGAACACACAGCCAAATGAGGTCCAAATGCAACGGGGAAAAGAATTGAAAAACTAGTAACAGATATTTGTTCATGTCCATTTAATTCAAGACCCTACTGCATACCGCTGCTCTCCATTTCACTGTTTAGGTCTTTACCTTGTCCCTGTGGTCTGGACTAGGGTATCAAGTTTAAAGACGCTACAATGAAGGGGCTACAGTCCCCACAGTACACTGTACAAAGGTATTTGCTTATCACAGTGGAAACTTTCTCTTCACCAGTTCAGGCAACCAGAGCAGCTAGCAGTCACATCCTGTGATGGTGGGGTACCAACACAACCCATTTACTCTTTTTTTGTCACTGTCTGGAACCCTGTTCAGTCTATTTCAGTCTTAATTTGTGAAAAACTAAATAAACCAAATCATATCAATTTGTCCCCAACTGAAATTCAAAGCAGCCAATTAATCCCATTTCCTGTTCCCCAGGGGGGAACTTCAGGTGAGCTCAGAGGCCAGTGACATGATGTCATTAGAGGAAAGAAGAAAAAAAACATTCAGTTTTTTCTTGCTTCTGAAGGACAGTGGCTTTAATTTATTTCCCTGCCATTTAATAATCATACATAATTTCAACATGGAAATTTGTAGTTTTTGTATTTTCAAAGAAATGCCTTTCTTAAATACAAGACAACAAATTAGGCAAACCCATCTGACTCCTGCATATGCACTTATGTTAAAAAACAAACAAACAAGTAAAACAAATTAAAAAAAATAGTTCAATACATCCATATGCGTAAATGACCCAAACAAGCTGTATTATCGGCACAGGCAGAAAGATGGGAGCTGCCACGGGCTTAGCACATAATGTGCAGGGTCAGCAGCACTCACTGCTGCCTGCCAACAATGCAAGAATGCCTGCAGCCGCTGCAGGGCTTTTTCTGTGTATCACCGGCAAAATGATGGACGCCTGTGGACAAACACGAAAAAATATCCATGGAATTTGGGTTACTTTCCCTATTGGTTCGTTTAATAGTTACCATCGCGATTCAAGCGGTAAAATAGGGCGCATTGTGTACAGAGCGTGCAATCACTTCCTCTCTTGAGAGTCGCATCACATACGCAAGTTTATGGAAAATTGATCAGTAATACCGTTTAAACGAGCGCGCTTAAGTCCACCTCAGACAAACACAAAGACCGGCAATGACAGACAGAAAAAGTACAGTATTAGGTCATGGCAATGCCACTGGAAAGGCTGTATAGTCAAGTGGATGACCTCAAAACCACTACCGCTCTCGTATGTAACCCACACCCACGTTTTTCAGCTTAAAATTTTCAGTGCGTCGTCAGAAGAAAATGTTGCTGACGAGATGACGGGTTTGTAAGATTCGTTCCGCTGTATACTGGGTCGGGGATTTCACCGAGGGACCGCAGAAGTACACAAGGAGAGAAAACATTCGACAAATTCAAGAAAAACACATGAGGCATGCATTAAAAATAAAACCAGTTTAGTTTCACGTGAACGAAAGGAAAACAAATCTGGAGCGGCTGGAGGGCACGACAACATCCTTTTGTGAGCAGTCTTTCTTGAGAAATTAAACCTCCATTAATGGTATGTAAACACACTTCCAAGCCAGCACCTGTGCCGCCTCCGCAGCGCACTGGACGGACAGCTTTTATTCCACAGAAGGCTGGGGAGCCGTTTTGTGTCGGGGAGGATGACGTCCCAACTTTTCCTCATTAAACACCCGCCTGAGCCTGTTCCTACCAGCTAAACTCTGGCACCCCGTTAAAACCTGAACACTTCACGCAAATCTAATGAGAGCCGCCATCCAAAAAGGTCCAAGTGAGCGTGCTGCTGCCCCCACCCCTCTCCTCCTCCTCCACAGCTGCTGGCTGCCCCTGACTTTCTTGCTCCAACACCACTGACTCAAATTTCACACTCTGGCTCCTCCTCGTCTTCCTCCCAAAGCACCACGGCTGGGAGGAATTTTTCGGTCTTTGTTTAAAAGGACGAGTGGAAAACACACTGGAGCCCACGACCTAAAATAAACTTTTTTAAACAATTTAAAATAGACTTATTTTTTTCTTAAAGAAAGACCACTCTACTAGAAATCAGCTCTACTTAACACCAGGTTTAAACCAAGTTTTTCGAAATACGCACTAAAACTTCAGACGAAACATCTGCGCTAACGTTTACGTGTTTCATACCCCGACTAACCGTCATTCGCAACTTCAACGAGTAACTTTACGCCATAAAACAACGGAATCCACCGTATACCGAGCTTTCAGCCCGGTTGCATCTTTATCTTCAGCTCAGTCTGTTAAAACTAAAGCAGCTGCACAAAACAAAAAACAAACGACCCACAGACGATACTCAACTCGAGCAAACATGAGTCAGAATAGTGGAATGTAGCCAACTAATAGTTAGGCTAACATCTGCTAACGTTAACTACTAAAACACGCTAGGAAACGCCATAGTCGTTAACTCCCGAAATCCCACTTACGGTTTCCAAATAACTGGGCGGCAATTGATCCGTGGCGTAAATCTGACTATTGTAAACAACTGCTTATAATGCCGTACACAAACCACGTGCTATTAAAGAGTCAACCAGTGTCGTCGGTAAAACAGTTATGTTCCCATTAGGCGGTGGCTGGCATATCCCCAATATATGCCGAGACAGGCTCGCTCGCTCGCTAGCTGCGGCGGCAGCAGCAGCAGCAGCATCCCCCGGCCGGTCCACACACAACAACAGTCCTCATTCCTGCTGGCATTCAGAAAAGACAGAAACTGAGTGGTGCCGATAGTTTGAATGTTGAAGCCTACCCTTGTCAACACAGCAAGTCCGTCCACTCGGGTCCTGGAGAGTAAAAAAAATACTCTGAAATGGAAAAAGTCGAGGAAAAAATTGAAGCCGAGCGTCAGCGGGGAGCCCTCGTCCGCTCCCTCCACAGGCAACTGAAACTGACTTGGCCGGAAAAGCAGAGACTGGAAAATGTAAGATGGCGGCATGTTTATATAGACCGGAGAACACCTCGAGTGCGCGCATATCCTGCCGTGAGCTCGGATAAAGTAGAAACTGAAGCCATATTTTATCTTTATTTCGTCTGGCGTTTACGCACTTCTGTATATATTTACCAAGCTCGATAGCTACACGCGTTGGTTGTGATAAATACTTTATTTTTTAGGGTAAAGTTAGCCAAATTCCACATCTGCACGAGTATGAATACACAATGGAATGAAGTTCCGGCTGACTCGAAAAGGGAAATCCGATTCCTTTCCCCCGAGTTAAATCTCATGGACTCTGGAAACATAGGATAATTTCCTTTAGTGTACAAAGTCACACATTTGTCACCTTTGTCTATACAGACGGAGAAATGGAGGCCTTCATTGCTCTTACCATCACCATGTCCCTGCTCAAAAGACAAAAAAATGGAAAAATTGAGCAAACCAACTTAAAAAAAAACCCAAAAAAACAACAACCGCACACACACACACACACACACACACACACACACAAACAAAACAAATTAAATTAGACAAAATTATAATTTAATATATGTTCAGAGAGACAACATCCGCATTTTGCCCAAGCCATTGTTGGTTTCTTTGAATTTTAAATAATGTCAGGAGACAAATTGTGGCAAATAAAACACACATTTAGACATTACACATTAAGTAATGTAAAGAAAATGTCAGTGCGATGTTTTCTTAGTTTCCTTAACAAAAGATTGTAAGATATATGTGACACGAGGTGCTGGCTTTGCTGTACTTTGCTGTAAACTAAATGCTCAACAAACAAGCTAATGTTTGTGGTCTTTCTTTTATGAAACTGCTTATGTCTCCGGGCAAATAAAACAGAACTCACTGGGCAAGTTGGAACACCTCTCATTGGCTTTCCTGTGTTCTGTTCAGTGATGTCTGGAAGGCTCATGACTTGTTTGTGAATACCACCAAATCTCACATATGCAGAAAATATAAAAAGTGATTAATGTGGTTTTCATATTTAAGTTGGAAAAAAATACGAGATCAGCCAATTAATCACATTAAAGTCATAAGTGATCAAACAATGTGGGCATTGCTATAACAGAATTACTTCTTATAAATATTGTAGACTTAGATTAATCATATTTCCTGAGTCCATTAGAACGCACATTCAGCCATTAAAATTATTAGTGATCTATGGGCATCGCCAAGGTCCTTCAAGTGAGTAGTCTGATCTTTCCTTTATTCTGAGATCACAGAGTTGTGGCTGTTAATTTTCAGATCACTTTCTATTTGGCTCAATAATAAGTAACTTGGTGGATAGGCCACATAGGAAATTTAAATATGCTTTGCAAGTCCTCTCACTGTTCGGTCCCTTAATCTCCACGTTATGAAAGCAGATAATGTACCTTTTCAGTACCCCTTCATTCTGCAGGTAGCAATGTCATGGGCAAACAAAGGTAAATCCTTTCCTGTGAACTGCCTACAGGCTATTTCATTAACCTTTATTTACAGTGCGTGGGTGGAATAGGTTACTGAAAGCCAAACTCCAATTGAAAACAGTCAATGCAGTGTCCCTGAATAGGATGCATGGGAATGAAATCAACAACAGAGCCAATACGTACACAATATATGAGCGCATCACATAGAATGACTCCACCCTGTGTCATCTGATTGCGACACAGACAATTACAGTACCAGCGTGTGATTGATTTCATTTGGAATAGCTTTCAAACCACAGTGACAATTACTGCTGCCACTCACTGTTATATATAGCCACAAAGTTTGAAATCTGATGACTGTGCTTCTTGGCAGTCGCATTATCTAACAGGTGCGTGCTCACGCAGCCGAAAAAGGCACAAAATCACGAAAACAGGATGACGAGACATTCAGATTTTCTAATTATACTCCAAAACACATATCAGTGGAAAGGCAGCGTAATTATTGTTTAGGTGACAGGCTTGTGATTTCTATTTCCATTTAACTATGGGTTCCTCCAGGAGGGCTTTCAACCTCCAACATCTCCACGATATACAATTAATATCAAACATGATGCGTGTTTGTGGGTGCAGATGTTGAAAAGAGCAATCTGTGAGAAAATACATTAAAACATATCACAAAAAGCCCTCTTTGAACAAGAGATACAATGGTACAATGCAATGTCTGACACAACCATGCTTGAGTTAGATGGCACCCCTACATTAAAGCCTTCACTTGCTTACAAGTACACTCTTGTAAAAACAGGTTGTATTTGTGAACTCCTTCATTAAAAGTCATACCTGCCTTTGGATTTATATAGCGTGCACAACCAAAACAGAGCCCTTCTAAAAATACAACTCTTCTAAAAACCAGTGTGAAAATCCAGCTGTTTATGTTGCCGGTGATTTGTGGTTAACTGAGTCAGAAATCCAAGAATTAATTGATTTAGACAGGCATCACTAAAATCAGAGGAACATATGTTAGTGTGAGTAGAAGATGATATTTCTTGTACTGTAGTTTGTTTGGGTTTTTTTTTTTTTTTGCATGAATAAAAATGCAAATTTTCGCTCCACAGGCCCTTCAAAATGTTAATGTCTGTATAATAGATTCATTATTTCATTTTTATCACACAATACCAATAGTCACAATTTAAGCCCAGTAAATAAACAAAACATAGCGTATCCTTGTCAAATTAAGGCAACAGGGAACTGGAAGTGCTTCACATGTGCTGGGTTTACCTTACAGTTTAGTTTGACCTCTAGGTCCAGGTAAAGGGTTAAAAAAATATATTTACCGTCTGTAAAAAAAAAAGAATGAAAAAAAGTCAAAGATCTAATGTATTTAAAACGCAATCTCTTGATTTCGTGTATCTCTGGAAAAGCTATTGATCGTGAAATACTATCACTTTTTATTATTCTCGCTTTAAAATTCATCTGATGATGCAAGAAAACAGATCACATCCATTCATTTATTTAATAAAACAGTTCACACATGTACAGCTGCTGGGATACATATAAGCAGTCTTTCTGTTTGCACCCAGACTGTTCAATTTACACCTGTCAATCACACCTCCTGTCAAAATGAACTTGAAAGCATTTCAATATTGAGCGTAACGAACAGTTTATAAGCAGCGGTGGGATGTGTCAGCTGTGAATCTGTGATTGTGTGCAGGTGACAGCAAGGTGGAGTGACAGACACAGCAGCGCAGTTCAAACGGTCACTTTCTGGTACCTAAACAGGACATCGGGTGATCAGCAGGGAGATATAACACAGTAATGTGTGGTGGTTTTCCACTTCACATCAATGCAGTTTAATTATTTATTTGTCCATGGGTACCACTTACCTGAAGAAGGATGTGTACCCATATTTTATTTTTAAGAAGGACTCAAGTAATGAATCTACAGAGAAATGCGGGTCACGTTCAATCCTCTCTGTCCTGGTTTATCACCAGAGAACTCTCTATCGTGACACGTGAGGTTAAACGCCCAGTTTTGCTTGATCCTGGAGGGATCCTGCCAAAGATTAATCCATAATGCCTGTGAAATGGCCCTTCATCCAACAAGCTGTGCTGAAAAAAACACAGACTGTTGTGTTCCCAAACACGCTGTGGCTCTCCAATGACCCAGTGCTGCACCACTTCAGGGAGCCCACACAACACTTGTTCTTCCAGCTGGAGAGGCCGTTTCATTTTCCGTCCTGGCAGCACGAGGAGTTCGCTGAGTATTTACACCTGCAATTCATTGATAAACGCAGAGCAGCATAGACATCAAGACAGGGTGTTTTAGAGGACAAAGCACATTTTAATTCTAATAACAAATTATTTTTGTTTGGATGTAAATAGATCATTGGAAAATATAAGGCAGCCTGATAGTATACAATAAAATCACCATCATCATTAGTAGAAGTAGCAGCACTATTGAAACGACGAACATGTTAAGATTAATTTCTACTTGCATTTTATATAGAAATTTAAACGCTCTGTATATTTGCTGGTAATCTACGCCTATCCAATCCTGCATCATGTCACACTGTGAGGTCAGTTCACAATAATCTGTCCAACTCCTATAATTTTTGGGTGGATTTAGTCAATTGCCGGCAATTAATACACAAATAAGTCCAGCAGTGTTTTTGATCCATTTCAGCAGACAAGTATGACAACAGATTAAACATTATACTACACACAGGAAAAAAAAGAAAAAAGAATGAATGCGTGGCACTAGCGCTTTAATCGAAGCATCCTGACTCGTGCGTGAATGTGACGAAACTGCATGTATGCATATGCAGCTTTTGCTTTGACTAAACGCAGGTCAAGGTAATGATAATATAGAGCTCAAGGTGCCAACAGCGACACAAACAAACACATAAAAACAGGTAGGTCCCAGTCTCCTAGGAGCAGATAGTCACAAGAGACTCGCAGGTCTTGTTCAAGCTCCGTTCTCATTGGCTAACACCGGTGCTGTGTATTCACATACGCATGTGTGTTTGCATTCTTATGCCTGTGTGAACACTTGCATCAGAATTTCTGTGTGCCGCGTTATTTAATTTATGTGCAGGTCTGCTGCATGTGAGCGTAGTAACAAGAAAGACCAGTTTTTTCAGTGGTGTGTTGATCCCAAAATGTGTATTTTTTGGCACATATGATCACGTGTGTCCCTTATTATAATATCTTTTTATCAAAAATTCCTCTCTTAATTTTTCTGCTCTTGTTTAACTGAAGAGTTTGGCATCTCGTGGTTATTGGTGAGGAAATGGCACGGCAATAGAAATCACCAAATCCCAGGAGAGCAAAGTGCCACATACACATGCAGTGGCCAAGGCCCGAGGGGTGTGGTTTCTTTCTCTAGCTGTTAAAGAAAGGGGCAGCTCAAAGCTATAGATAGGGGCAGACAAAACAAATACGCCCTCACACACAGGGACACACACACATGCACATACACACACACAGCAACAGCAGGTCAGAGAAGGGATACAGACCGGGCCACATGGAAGGAATGTTTGCCTTGGACCGACACTCTCGTGC